TTCAATTGACTCTTCACCATCGTCAAGAAGTTTTAGATTTGAAATATAAATGTTATTGACAATTGTAACAAAGCAGCGTGTGAAAATTAAAATCATTTTCTTTGCTTATTTACAAAAGCTGAGATGCCTTAACACGTAAATATGTTTTACTGCGTTATGTAGAAGTAGGCCTAATACGATTTAATATAAAGATTTATTGAGGCTTTAATAAATTTGAGGTTATAATAGCCTAACTGTGCTACGGTTTTCAAAAGTGTATGTACTTGGTAGGTCATGGATAAATAATCACACATTCATCAATATTATGCCATTAGGCCCAAAATCTCTTAACAGCACATGATCACGAACCAACTAAACTATCAAAACTTGTATATTATAGCCTATTGATAGGTGGAAAAATCAAAACAAAAACTATTAGGAACTGTAGTATCTTAGTTTCTGTGATTTTCTCTATTCGAAGAATAGAACTAGTAGCAAAGAACGAAACGGAACGGAACAAATACCCGAAATGTAATTGCATGCAGGCAGAGTGCTCTCTGAGTGTGGACATGTGTTGGGGGGGAGTCATTAGATTAACCGGGACTAAAGCATCGCCTGAAGTAACCGGGAAATGTTATCAGGAGAAGGAATTTTAAGCGGGCGGTGGGTAGACCTGCACAGCAGCGCAGGGCCTTCATGCTTGTTGGCGTCATGGAAACAAATGGCGTGGGTAAGATGGCGGCTGATTTATAATGTGGGTGGAGCAGGGCAGCAGCCATTTTGTGTTAATTACCATTTCGTTATTTGGCGATTGCTCGATGTTTTCGAGCGAATGGTGATATATATAGCGGATGTACAGTCACACGTTCATGCACAATGGCTAAAGTGACAGAACCCTCGAAAAAAGACAAAGGCGTCTCTTCCGCTGTTTTCTTTAGCAATAAATAGTGCTGGATGAATATGCTGATTGCTGTTGTATTCTGACCTGGATGACATGGGGTGGGGTGGATACTCGAAAGGCAAGACCTCGGTAATTATCCGGCAGCAGTGGCGAGCACTCAGTTAATTCGTTTAATCAACTTACTGGAATAGATATTTTTCTATAACAGTATTCTGCGGGTCATTTCAAATAATTTTCAGAAGACGCAGCTGCCATTACAGGCGCCGGCTTACGACTCACCGAGTGGAAGACTGGCACAACTCTCATTAAGGAGCTGGTACAGCACGGAGCTGAGAACCTACACTTTTATTAACAAAACGACTTTTTAACTGTTAAATTTCAGCGACCCGCTGTGTGTGTGTGTGTGTGTGTAGTAATATTTTAACAAAATCTTCGAAATTTTTAATTAACTTAGACCCGTTTACCAGGACTGCGAATCGATTTAAAATCTTAATTCTTTAAATGTCCGCAATGATTTGATTAATCGATAATTTATAGGAAAAATTGTTACTTTATTAAAAGTTGTTAGCCTAGTAAGCCAAAAGGTCTCTTTCTATTATAACGTATAGTCTAATTTGTTCTTGAAAACCAACTTTTTTTCGTTTACTGATGTTCTCAAACACAAAATAAATCTTACCATTAGATCCATGTTTGAAATCTAAAGCAAGAGAATTTGGCTGTTGCTCGCTGCGAGCAACTTCACGAGAGACTACCAGGTGGGGATTTCGTGTTCTTTCAGCTGTTCGGAAATTCTTTACCTGTCCAGGCAAATGTGCAACCGCGGCTTCACAACTCCATTACTCCCTGCGCCCTCATTAGCTTACGATAATACACTTACTCTGGAGAAACGCACGTGTGGATGACAAAAAGGAGTTAGGGGAAACTAATGAAATAGAAAGAATCAAAACTGCTTTAAATTTTACTTATTAAACTCTTTGATACCTAGTGGTAACTGGATGTAACCTGCCACATGCTTTAACAACCTGTAACTCTTAATTTTATATTTATGTGTTTCGTATGATTCTTACTGTAAACAACGACCATTTCCTTAAATAGCTTTTCGCAGTTGATCTTTACAACAGTGAAGTGTAGTGTTTTCTTTTTGTTAATACATGTGCTATTAAGGGCGTTATTTCAATTATTTTATAGAAGAATTCCTCCACCCCCCCCCACCCCACCCCCGAAAAGAAATCGTAATCATTTTGTCAATACTTAGTATTAAATTTGAGGTTCTCATGTCTGTGAAAATAATGTCATTCCTCTGGATTTTAATGCCCTGTAGACTTGTCTGTAGATACCAAGGTTTCATACGTACATACTACCTCCATCTTTGAGCTTTCAGTTTTGTACTGTAATACAATACGAGGTGCGATCGGAAAGTTTCAAGACTGCGGGTATAAAAACCCGTACACTTATCTCAGGTATTAAATTCATCCATCACCCTCGAAGTAGTTCCCCTGGGAGTGAACACAACGATCCCAGCGCCGCTGCCAAGCCTGGAAGCATCCCTGGAAACTTTCCGATCGCACCTCGTATGATGGCCGAATGGACTACCTACTGAAAAGTAGATTGAAGGTTGTCTTACATGAATAACAAATTGGAAATAGCATAGAAAGAAGTGGTCGTGATCTACACTACATTAGGCTACTATCCCAGCATTTAGTCGACTCCTTCTAGCATCTGTAGCAAGTTTATGTTCTCATTTTTACATCAGTTATTACTTTATGTTCGCTGAACTTACCACGTCTGTCGCGTTCTCACGGTTTAAGAACTTGCACGCGAAGTAAATTATACAGCACTTTTCGGCAATAAACCTGCAAAGCATGGCGGGATAATCTATGGCGCCCAGGTTGAGATTCATTACACACCGAGGTTGAACGCACAAGTAGGATGTAAACAGGTTTGAAAGAAGCCTGTCATAGTGAAGCGATATATGTATACAGTTGAGTCCCGATTATCGGACCTAAACGGGACTGAAGAACGGATAGATAATCGAAAATGTCGGATAATACTAAAGACTAGTGAAAATCTCAAGGTATTACTCAATTTACGAAGAAAATACAAATCGACGTCAAATGAAAAAACACACATACAAAAATTATATTTTACGTAAAGTAGGTTTGTAGTGAAGATTCACTTTTTTAAAGAAATTAGTATTGTGTATTCTGTTCTTTTCGGTAAAGTCATGCCAGCGCCTAAACAATAATACACATGTAGCGAATTAATAGTTAAAATGTAGAAGGTTAGGTTAGGTTAGGAAGTATGATTTATTTTGATACATGCTGAGTTGAGTGTTCATAAAATGGAGCATTACGACACGGCACTTCGAATAAAACGGAATGTTTGATAATCGAAAGTCTAATAATTGAGACTCTACTTATTAGCCTTTACATAAAAAATGTAAATAGCCTATATAGCATGAGTAGGCTACTTGTATAAATTATTACAGAGACATTATCCTTACCACAGGTATACCGTATGATACCGCAGTTTCTGAGAAATATTTCTCCGTTTTGCAACAGGATTAATAAATAAACTGAGCAGTAGTTTGTCAGAAGATTTATTTATAGGAACTGTTAACAGTTGCAGTACATCAGCATGATCAATATAGCCGCAGAGTCGATCATCTCGCGTCTCACAGTCCATTCTCATTGTCACACTGAAACATGCCCCTCGAGTCCGTGATTAGAATATCCAAAGGCATCTGTTCTTGTATGTCCTGAATGTTTTACTTCTGATGCGTTACATGCACAATTGTATTTGGCTTATTTTTACACAGGGGTCGTGATTTCTCTAGCAAAATTTGACAGCTTAATTTTTCTGTGTATTAAGAAATTATTATGACAATAAGGCTTCTCATTTAGCACACATAAATCCTATAGAAATGCTTTACTGTATGTTTAACGTACGTATATAAATGCATTAAATTATTTCCATCTTTCTTCAGAGCGGATCTTTATATGAAATAAGTGCGTCTTATGTTATATTTGTTCTGCGTAATTTTTAAACGCCCTTTAAAATAAGATTTATTTTTGTTGTTGAGATGTTTAAAGTTTTGTTTAAATTGTCATATAAAATGACAGAAAATTTTGATTGACCGACAGCTACCGAGAGCCAATCGACTTAATTTGTACTGTAATAGACTTTATTTTGTGCTGACATACTGGACGCAAAATATCTGCTAGCTAAGCTACGACACAGTACGAAGGGAAGATCAGATAAGCAGGTGGAGCAAGTTATGCGCTATCGGTTCTCATCCTTCTCCGTACCTCGGCTGGCAGGTCAAGGTCGTAAATGTTTATTTGTAACGGTCAGCGAAACTCGGAGATATCTTGCGACAAGTATAAATTTTAATGAAAATAAAAATGCTGCAGAAAAGACCTCTCTGAAGAACGACTGTAAGATACCTTCTTTTATCTAGGAAATTAGAAGTGTTTTAGAGTAGAGAAAACTGATTGGGGTGCGTTTTAAACGTGTATTTGGTAAAATTTAGTTCCATGTAACTTATACAGAGAAATGACCCAGTGTTTACTTCAAATATTCCTTTCATCTCTGGTTGCCTCTACAAGATACTTTCGTGGGCTTTGCTGTGTCTTGGGTCACCGTAATGTGGCACGCACACACAAAGTTGGCCTCAAGAAAGACAGCAGAATGCGTCTGAAGCAGCATGGAATGCCATCATTTTCGAAGAGGAAACAAACATTAATAAGTTGGTAAAGTATCATTTGAGCAATCTTTCAATGTTACCAAACCGTTCGGGCGGTTCAAGATCGTCAGATGTTTATGTTGGTATTACTAGGTGTCCTTCGCGCTCTAGCGTGAGCGAAGAACATGTTATAGGCCTTCCTATGTCTGTCTGTCGCGTCTTTCGCAAGAACGGGAACATCGGATCGAATTAGTGCGATAAAGACCTAAGGCATTTATTTGGAGACGTCGTTGTCCTGAGTCGAATTGGTGCAAGAATCATGCCTGCGTAATATGGCGTGGAGAACACCTTCGGAATATCAATGTTCTCTTAAGAGTACACCTTTCCAGTAATGTTGATGTTGGGAAATTACAAATTGAGTAACCTTCAGTGTCATTGTGTACATACCACGTTAAATTAAATTATTTATTCAGAATTTATGGAGTATGATGGGAAATCGCACGGACATGGTGCCATAACCCTGCCTTTCCTCTGAAAGGTAGACTAAAGGACAACTGTAAACACAAGAGTCATATTCCATGTTGATTTAGAGGCGTCTATTCCACTTGTACGTACGCCTGTTGCTTTGTTGACGGGCAGAGGGCGGGAATGGTGGTTAAGGTTGGACCACTATTGTTTTTGTTTTTAAAGTGTCTTTAGGCCTACAACACACGTCACACGCACGACACTGTCTTATTTACACACGCGTGCTCGCTCGCACAAAGTCACGGCTGAGATAAATCTAACAAGTTCCGTATTAGCCGCTGTGTACAACAGTTCACATCACGACACCTTAGTTGATACTTGTTCACATTATCTGTGTTATGGCCGAATCATAACACATAAAGCAACTGAACTCCACATCAGAACACTTCCCGAAACAGTAACAGTAATTAAACTTTATCCAACACAACTGCACTCTAATTTTTATCACAGCGACATGTTTCGACTATTCAGTCATCTTCAGCTTTCACGAAGTTCTCACAAATCTCAAACGTTGTGTTATATGCAGGGTGTGTAACATTCAAAACACAAACCAACAACAGTCACGTACCACGACACAAAATTAAATCAGAAGCAGGTCCACCCTCTTGCAATAGACTACCCCAAGGTCATCCAGGTTGCTAGGCCACTGCTCAAGCAAGTTGCGGTAGAGCTGTGCAATTGCGAACATGTAGTCAGGAGCTGAACACGTGTTTATTCTCGAACGTTATTTTGTTTCAAAATCGTTTGCTGCTGTTAGAGTAACATTTAGCAATGCATATCTGGATAAGGGAGTACCGCATACACCGACTGGTAACAGAATTTCGAAACACAGAAAGTGCTCATCTAGTGATAAAACAGTTGACTACTTCAAGTACTGCATCAGCTGCAATAATTCAATTTTGCCATTGGTCTCGTTTTGTGCGCGAAGAATCTCGTGTGTTGTAGTTGGATCACGTTTTACATGGAGCATTCTGTATAATAGACCCCTGAAGATGACGGATCGCTGAAACATGTCGCTCGGGTAGGAAGAAAAATGCAGTTGTGTTAATTGAAGTACAAATGTTGTTACTGATTTAACGTCTCACACACAACAGAATGCTGACATGTGAGTTCTCGAGTATTTTCTCGAACGTCGTTTATATTTAGGCTATCTACTTACGGAGAAAATGTATTGCAAAATTATAACAAAAATATTCATAGACACAAAATCAACATTAATTTTGTCTTAAACAAGAAAGGGGATTAAGCTTGTGAGAAGGAACAGTGTCGGTCAATCGTTTAATCAAAGTTCATACTTAACCATTCGTCATTATGAGAGAATTTGACTGTAGTTTGATTTGAGGTTCTCACGGCGGTAATTATGAATTCTTGGTTATTGCGCCGTGTAGTCTGATTGAAGTTTTCAAAGGTGCTTACTTCCTCCATGATCAGGGCGATCAACTTTTACTAGAGACTACAAGGCGTATCGTCCCAGAAGACTGTTGTTACCTTAAACAGGGCAATGCGTATCTACCACGAACCATTCACACTGTCGAGAATATCTAAGAAATCAAGATTTATTTGAGCTTAACAACTGATATGCAAGACTTTCGTACATTGTGTCGTGTGTGTTCATTGATCAGCGCGACGAGAAGTTCAGTTGCGGCCACCAAGATTTTAAGGAAACGGGACAATTTTTGCAACGACGCTGTGGCCCGTTTACACAACGTAGGGCCTGTAAAGAGTCTCGCCGGCATCTTGGAGGCTGAGACGCCGATGGTGGTTCTGGAGGTGGTGGTGGTGCAGGTGATGCACTCTGGTGGCGTTGCCCTGTGGCTGGAAGTTCTGCTCCAGCACGAGGTTAGTGGCTGTGGCCACAGCGCTGGTGCTATGGTTGTCCATGATGGCAGGACTGACGCTTCTACTGGAGGCCATCTGCTGCCCCGATGTCTCGCTGTCCCCGTGCGACGTCTCTTTCGCTTTGCTGTCCGTCGGTGTGCTGCCGCTACTGGACGCAGTCGTGGGTTTGCGCTTCTCTGCCTCGTCCTTCGCTTTGGCCTCTTGCTGTGCCTTCTTGCTGCGTTTCCACTTCATTCTGCGATTCTGGAACCAGATCTTGACCTGAAAGCAAGATTACACTTGTCATTCAAGACGTTCCCTGTACAAACGTGACAGCTACTGGGTGTTAGACATGATAACAATCGAATGTAGGGCATTACGAAATTTTTCTTTTAGCAGTTTTGTATTTGTTGTACCGTCACCTATTTACACACATTTTCGTGTTTCCACAACACTTTTCACCAATTTGAAATGTTTGTCTCGTTGTTTAGACTATATATATATATATATATATATATATATATGTTTCGGATACTATATAGCAATCATCAGGCCTATAATACATTTATGGCACTACGTTTAGTAATATTAAATGTGATTTTGCAAAAATTAAAAAATAAACAGAACACAAAACTACAAATTATACACCACAACAAGACATCGAACGATCAATACAACAGATTACCGATATTAATATTTGTTTACAAATGATGTGTTTAGCTGTTTAAGTTGTTTATACACTTTGTCATCCATATACTAAACCTATTATTTATTATTCTGTGAACTTCTTTAAATATCAAAGGATAGGTCTGACATTGGTGTAACACAATCTGGATTGTTGGATTTTTTGACATTGCCCATCGTCTGGTATTATAGAATCTTTAGTCTTCACATTCATATGCCTTCTTATAATTGTTATTGTTATTCTTACTATTATCTCCCGTTGACATAAAATGACATAAGGTGCAATTGTCCTATCCAGGTTTTCCAGCGATAGGGATTAGCTCACCTTAACTGACCCGAATGAGTAGGTGACCCCTTAACAACACCTGAAGGTGAGGACAGATCCAGTCCTCGAAACTTTGTGTGTAGTAGAAGTAATTATAACGACAAACGCGCCCTTTAAAGCCCAATGGGAAGTTCATGCCCCACCTGCCTCAACAATATGCAAGTCTTAATTTGTGTTTCAATGGGTTTTGTATCATTCTCACAATAAACAGTGATTTTTTCCTTAAACAGCATTAACCAGTTGATGTTTAGGATGGTAAAGAGATGTGTTTTATTTGCGGTACGGACTAAATTCGTAAATATTATTCACAAGAGTTTCGGTTTCGAGGGGTTGAAAAGATTTTATCTAATTCTGTAGAAATTTTTTTTATTATTATTATTTCAGAACCTGCAAAGAGCCCATATACTGGCAAGTTAATCACACGTCTATTAACTTTTGCTCAAGACTGTAGACCTATGCATAAAATAATGTCTCAATTGCTAACTATTTAAAATCAGTCTTCAGCTTGCATCGAGACACTAATCAGCTGAGAGCCCTCGCTAAGTCTGTGCGCAAACAGTCGTTACTCTGCTGCCCATATTTCCGGATTACGCCTCAAGACAAGACAAGTCGCTCACACCGAACCTTCTCCACGTATCTCCCCGGGACATCGATATTTTAAGCGATTAATTATTTAATAATCCTCTCAAATGATTAATGAACTCGTCGATTAGATTCATAGACTACTAGTATAAAACGCGAGCAACTGCCATTTTATTAAGAATTATATGAAACTGGGAAATATTTAGTAAATGCATGTGACTGTCTTCTGGGTTGTAGCGCCGTGCAGTGTGGTAGAAGTTTACCAACGTTTCAGAGGTCTTTGCTGCCTCCATCATCAGAACGATCGCCCAGAAGACAGCCATCTTTGTACTCACGGCCGTGAGAACCTCAGATGCTACTTAGAGAAATAATCATTTCGAAATCTGAGTTTTATGAAATCATAACTATGATAATAAAATTTCTTCCTTTTTCCGATTATTGTGACAGTTTTTCCAACATTATTTCTATAATTCAAGAGTCTAGTTTCTATTCAATTTTCAATTTATCTCAGCATTTATTTATCTGTTTTTGTTGTATTTTGCTTTTGCCATTACATTTTCTTTCTAATTGTTTCTTCTTTTAAACTTTTGTTTGCCTTAGGTCCATTGAGTTTCGACAGGATCTTGTCTGTGAATTAATTACATATCGATCCCCAAAAGATTTACCTGTGTCTCCGTAAGCATGAGGCTGGTAGCGACTTCGAAACGCTTCGGTCTGGATAAGTATTTGTTCTGTCTGAATTGCTTTTCCAGCTCCAGAAGCTGCTGGCTGGTGAAGGCCGTACGGGGCCTCCGTGTCTTCCCAAGGAGGGCGTGCTGAGGGCCGCAACCTGCAACACAAAACAAGCTTTCGATTCTAAATTTTGTTTTACACAGAATTTTACACTATAGCCGTTACTTGCAGTACTTTGTTGTAGAAAATGGAATTAATATTAAGACTGTTAAGAAATTCATTTTGACAAAACGCCTTCTAAAGCAATTCCAGTTGTATTGTTACAAACAATGCAAATGTAGGTCGTAACTTAGGGCCTAATTGAAGGCAGTAAGAAGGCTTATATCACTCCAATTTATATAAAGAAATTAGAATTGCTATATTGATATTTATTATTATTATTATTATAATGGATTTTGTGCCTATAATTATGATAATATATCAGATTAATTTTTTTATCGTTACATTCAAGGTGGAGGCTTTTGGATGCGCTTTTCCTCGTTAATGTTTTTAAAGACAAAATAGTTGCTTATCTGTTTTTGAAACAGTTAGTCTCTGCATACCTACTAGGTCTATCAGAGACTACTCTACCTTTACTGTACAACGTAATTTCAAGGCCAGTCCCTCTGCCAGATGCGTTTCTGCTGCCAATGCAGTCTGTAGGAGCATCGACATCTTTAACAAAGATCGTGTTTTGTTTACTGATGTCAGTCAGCTTTTTAAACAATAATCATGGTTTTTTATTGTTTATTTAGTATAACATTTTATTTTGTATGTTGTTTGTCCAAAATAGAACTGATTTTAATTTAATTATTATTTTACTTATGCATAATATTTAGCTCATTTATTTATTAATTATTTTGCAATAAATTAATATTGTACATTTATATATTCAGTTCATTGTTTGTTTGCTTTTGTATTGTTGTTAGTTTTTGGCTGTTATTGGCTTTTTTGGATGTTGTCAAGCACTTTAATAAATGAATTGAATTGAATTATTATTAGATGAGTTAAATAAGTGGGAAATTTAAGCTATAAGGCACACGTAAAAGGAAATTTCGTGACTTGTACCTGTCATTAAGAAGCAACTATGTGCTTGGAAATGTAGCGAGAATGAACGACACAAATAATACTTGCGAAATTGTGATGGGAAACCTCCTGGAAAATTATCCTTTTCATTTAAAACCGTGGATGATACGGAAGGCTAACATTAAGATGAATGTTAGGGAATCGAAATGACTCGGAAACGTGTCTGTTGTTTCTGTTAACCGGTGTTATCGTTGCTGTCTTTCGCTTACACTATAGCCGTTACTTGCAGTACTTTGTTGTAGAAAATGGAATTAATATTAAGACTGTTAAGAAATTCATTTTGACAAAACGCCTTCTAAAGCAATTCCAGTTGTATTGTTACAAACAATGCAAATGTAGGTCGTAACTTAGGGCCTAATTGAAGGCAGTAAGAAGGCTTATATCACTCCAATTTATATAAAGAAATTAGAATTGCTATATTGATATTTATTATTATTATTATTATAATGGATTTTGTGCCTATAATTATGATAATATATCAGATTAATTTTTTTATCGTTGCATTTAAGGAGGAGGCTTTTGGATTCGCTTTTCCTCGTTAATGTTTTTAAAGACAAAATAGTTGCTTATCTGTTTTTGAAACAGTTAGTCTCTGCATACCTACTAGGTCTATCAGAGACTACTCTACCTTTACTGTACAACGTAATTTCAAGGCCAGTCCCTCTGCCAGATGCGTTTCTGCTGCCAATGCAGTCTGTAGGAGCAT